TTAGCCTTTTATATATCATTGTAATTGTTCTATGTTGTGAATAGTATTATTGTTAATATCTCACTGTATCTAATTTATAAAGTAAACTTTATCACAGGTATGTATATATACATAGAAAACATAGTCTATATAGGGTTTGGTAGTATCCACTGTTTCAGGCCTCCACTAGGGATTTTGTAACATATTCCCCTCAGATAGGGAGAAACTACTGTTCCCATTTCAACTCACAGTAGTTTTCTCAACTTCTCTTTGAATAAAAAGAAAATAATTTTAAAAGTAAAGTAAATTTATTGCAATGCCTATTATATTTTGCAGGTGATTTTTGTTGAGCATACTAAAATGATACTGAATTCGTTTTCTTTTTATTTGCCCATGATAGAGAAAATTGAGAACATTTATCAAGGTTTGGGGCAATGCACTTTAAGATATCCCTAGTATTTAGCATGATCAAATTTAGTTACATAATTCTCAGTTAATAGTTATCTTTATGTTCACATATGTGTCCTCATGAAAATTTAGGAAAAATCCCCAGTCTGCAGACTTTATCAGTATATAAAGTTATTGCTGTGTGAAGCTCCACAGCATCCCAATTCATTTAATAAAAGAACATACACTAATGTTTAGTCATTCTCATTATAGCAGTACATCATTACAATACTATATTTAGGAAACCAACGAGCAAACCTTCAAATTATAATGAAAACCTAAGCAATGTGCACAGGTGATATGAGTTTGCCTGCATCAGCATCAGGTCTATAAAATAAGAAGTTCTGTATTGTATCATTTTAGTATATATCCTTTTCCTGTATTAAAACTTTATTATACACATTTTCCATTTAAAATGATGAAAAATTATTAAAGGGCAGTGACTGTTTCATGAGTCTCCTTTTCTTCCCTTTGAGCAAACACAGTAAGATTGACTATAACTGCCATCAATAACATACTGCAACTTGATCCATCCAATAATGCTGTCACTAACAGCCAACTTTGATAAAATAACATCAAGCAAAAGACCACTTTCCCCATGAAATATATCCTTAGCCCTGAGGTGAAGAATTGCTTCTGATGATCTTGACACTCTTTGATTAATGAAACATTATACAAGGCCACTCTTCTTATAGAATAGTCTACATTGCCCATATAGATAAGAATTGATTCAATGAGACTGAGCGTAGATGCAAAGATCATAGTAATTATTTTATAATCTATATATAATTGTTATAAATCTGGAGTGTCAAAATAGGTGACTGGAGTTGGAAATTTTAGGGCATCTATACATGAAATCAATGCACCTTTCTAATGGAGCATTCATTTTCCAGGTCACCATCCCTGCTCACACCCGTGTACTGCTTCATACATTTCAAAGACCTAGCAAGTTATTTTTTCTTCACAAAAATTATATGGGCTGAGCCCGTACGATTATACTTGCTAAGCCAGTACCATTGCCCCATTTTTTGAATGATGAGTCAGAGAAGTGCCTTATCTAGTATTTGAATATCTTCTTTCCAATCCATTCCCCTGACCTTACATCACACTACTTGTAACGGCCCATATCTATAAAATGGTAAAGCAAAAGAGGTCAGCTTCCTGCATTTCTCTATTCCTGACAAGAGCCTGACTTCTGGTCTCCCTATTTTAGGCTTAGCTCTAGCAAAGCACAAGCCATGCCCGCCTCAGAGAGCTTTTGTGCATATCACAACAGTATTAGTCACTGCTGACACGGCCATCACTCTTGCTCTTCCTAGTATTTCTTTCACTCTTTTGCTGCTGACAATATGAAAAATAGTGCTGGCACAGCCTTAAAGTCACTCAAAATCCCCTTTTATTTATATTGCTAACTTACTCTTAAAATTTTGTTTGCAAAAAAGATTTAATGATATACGGAGGAATAACTTATTGAAGAGTTTCAGCTTATAGGCTTTTTTAAATTGAGTCTATTGAGGTATTCTACAAACTAAATAAAGAAAGCTACTAAAACACAAAAGCAAAGCTCAGAGGTGAGTGTCATCTTTATAATTGAACATAAACAGGCATCAACAGAAGACCTGTTCCCCCTCCCCGTTGCCTAATTAACTGTGGTGGAGTTTAATCTTCCATTTCTTAGTCTGGTAGGGTGACCCTTTTGTGTCACTGGACTTGTGTCATCATTAATTGCCATTTCTTAATTACAAAATTTAGATTTACAAAAAATAAAACCTTGTATTTGACCACCCCATGGTTTTCATACTTCTAGTCCATGCTCTGTAGTCTATTAAGAGCAAAGTCTCAACCCAGCCAGTGTGTGTTTGAGCATCAACCTCTGAACCAGGAGGTCACAGTCCAATTCCCAGTCAGGGTACATGCCCATGTTGCTGGTTCAGTCCTCAGTGTTGGGCACGCAGGAGGCAGCCCATCAATGATTTTCTCTCATCATTGATGTTTCTATTGCTCTCCTTCTCCCTTCTTTTCTGAAATTAATAAAAATATATTTTTACAAAAAGAACAAAGTGTCAGATGTGCTCATTCTCAATACTGCTTACAAAAATGTTCATTCAGAAGGCCTACATTTGTAACTTAACTGATAAAAATGATGAAGGAATATTAAAAAATTATTCAGTGAAAAAACCCAGCCTAAGGACAATGGAACTTAGGATATATTGCTATGATGAAACCAATGAAAGCTGTCAGTTTTCATGCCATGTGTAATTCTTTTGATGACTTTTTAATCCAAGCAGTATTTTTCATAATGATTAATAGGAAGGATTTTATCATAGGTATGAGTAGGGGTGGAGGAGGGGGCTTACCTATATGAGTAACATGTCATTTGTAATAAGATGTTTTAATATGAAAGCATAATGAAATTATAACTCAGTAGTAATCCACAGCATAATGAAAATTAAATTTTAAAGAAAGTTGGCAGAAAGTCATCTAAAACCAAAAGATACTTTTGGAAATGTTTCAATATCCTTATATATTAAGTTTCAATTTTACATTTGTGAAAGGATACTTAAATAATTAATGTTACATAGTATTGGTGATTTTTCTTTGAAGTTCTTTAGAGGCATTTTAAATTAATTTGAAACCATGATACAACAGTTAAATAAAGATTTTTAAAACTATATCACATACACCTAGATATATAAGGCTAAGTAAAATTATCTCATAGTTTGTACAAATAAACCATGTTGCCTTTATAAAATATGGAGAAAACTGTATGAAGCTAATTAAAACATATAATTATTCTATATACCATTGTACCATTTTTTCTTCTATGAGATATGTCAGATCACATGCTTTGCTCAGCAGACCTGGTTGAATTTATGGTAGAGAAGTTATATCAGGACTTACAGACATATTCATATTTCACCTTGATTTACATATTCTTCAAATCATGCTTGTAATCATGACAGATAATTAGAAAATTACTTATTATAGATAATTTACACATCAAAAAGAGTGATCATATATAATAAAAGGGTAATATGCAAATAGACTGAATGGCAGAACAACCAATGAAAGCGTAATAAGCTAATGATATGCTAAGGCTGCTCAACCACTCTCTATGACATGCACTGACCACCAGGAGGCAGACAGTCAACTGGTTGACCAGTCACTATAACGTGCACTGACCACCAGGGAGATGATGCTCCAACCAGTAGCTTAGCTTGCTGCTGGGGTCTGGCAGATCAGGACTGAGTGAGATGGGCAGGACACACTCTGGAGCCCTCCCACAGTCCCTCCTCAGCCCAATCGTACATCAGTGGAGACCTTCAGCCTGGCCTGCACTCCCTTGCAATAAGGGACCCTTTGGGGGATGCTGGAGGTTGATTTCAGCCCAATTCTGCAGGCCACTCCCCTTGGGAGGGCACAAGAAGCAGGGCTCATGGCTGTCCAGCACTGCTACAGCAGCACAAGCCTCTCCCGATAGGGACTGATTGGACAGGAGCCCGAGGCCTGGGAAGGCACAGTGGGGCTGGGATGAGGGGAAGAGGCAGGTAGGAGCTGCAGATTGCTTTGGACTGTGGCAGATTTTGGCCCAATCCCTACAGGCCACCCAGAGGGACCCCAGCCATGCACAAATTTGTGCACCAGGCCTCTAGTATAAAATAAATACATAGGGGTGGACAAAAGTAGGATTGCAATTGTTCATGTGGAAAAATATATAATACAAGAGTAAATAATACAACAATAAACTGTTTTGCCTACTCACAACTTTAAACCAACTTTCTTCCATCCCTATATATTATCACCTATGCTGTTTCATAGGTAAAATTTGACCTGCAACTTTTATAAACACTCACAAAATTTGAGTTCCAAATCAACATATATTCTTGGTTCCATTTAATAATAACATAGCCACTGTTGACTAATGGAAGCTTACAGAAAATGAACAGTTTACATTGAAAGATGTATAAAAATCACACCCTATCTGCACCTTTTTCCCCCCTAGAGTGCTCACTGGTTAAGGGACAATGAATCCCACTTCCAGTTCACATATGCAGGTATGTTCCTAGAGTAAGGTGTTATGTGCACAACTTCTCATAAACTTAATCACCTCTTACCAATTCATTTATTTCTAAAGTACATCTACAACAGTAATACATCAACAACCTTAGCTTATTTCTGTGTCTCATTACATTGAAAAAATATTAACTTCTCATTTTTCTATATATTGAAATGTTCTATACACTTACAATATTACTTGTTAATTATTGTAACATTGTCTGTATAAAGGATAGTTTGTCTTTGTCATAAAATACTGCAATAAACCTAAACATTTATACTGAGAAAAGTTGTAGCATTTTGAAATTAACATATAACCAAATTCTGTGTAGTTCTAATAATTAAAAGATAACTCGTTGGGAATACTATTTTAATGTAACAAATTACAAATTTAAAATTACAAAATACGAATTTCAAAATTTGGTTATTTTATTGGGCATCATGATTAGACATCTAATTTTTTCCATGCATCAGTAAGTAATTTAAATTACCTTACAATGAAAGGTAAGTACACTCACCATGTTCCAGCCAGGGTAGAGGTAGTCTGTACCAACAAATTCAAAGTAGTGAGCAAAGCCTTCCTTCAGCCACACGTCTTCCCACCACACGGGAGTCACGAGGTCACCAAACCACTGCGTTAGCAAAATGAATGGGTATCAGCTAAAATGCTAAAATCAAATGTATACTTCAAGTGAAATGTATTCAACTATGATTATCATGACTGAAATTCATTCTTCAATTGATTTGATGATCTTAAAATGTACTGTGGTAAGACTATTGATTTATTTGACTACTTGGATAAGACTAGTTGTTGTTTTTTTAGATAAATGCATTCAGAGAAGAACAAAAAATAAAATAATCAAAGAACACACACACACAAATTTAAACCTGCAGAAGAAAGGACTCAGGAGGAAAGAACTGGTCACACTTGTCTTCAAATATTTGAAGACCTAGAATGTAGCAGAGAGAGAAAAAAAAAACAAAAAACTTGTGTCTTATGGTCCTACAAGGAACAAATCAAGACTAATGGGTGAAAATTAGGATTGACAGATGCGGAAGTGCGGAAGATTCTTCAACAGACTGAGATGGCTGACGATGGAAAATACTTCCTCCAGAGGCAGTGAGCAGCATCACAGGAAGTACCGAAGCATCGCCTTCCAGAGGCAGAAGCATTTCAGAGCAAAAGGCAGCTGATTGAAGGAGTTAAGGGCTTTTAAGATGCCACCACTTGACTCTCTTCAAGGCTCTATAATGAGGGGTTGGGCCAAAGAAATAGCTAAGATCCTTTAAAAAAAAAAAAAAAAAAAAAAAAAAAGGCATCATGATTAGCTCATGTTGCCTTATTCTGAAACCATTGTTTAAGTTCAGCAAAAGTTTAAAAGAATTGCTTTTTCATTAAAGAAAAAAAGACATTATATTCCAGGAGCCATCCTAAAGAAGAGATTCAGTGATGAATTGATCATGCACTTTATTGTGGTGGCAGGGGGAATGAGGTGAGCTAGAAAATAAAAAATAAGTAAACAAATGACCAACTTAATCTGAAATCCTAATAAAGTGTGATAGGAATTGGGGAGGGATTGTCTTAGATGGTAAAAGAAAGAAGCTCCTCTCTAAGCAGATGATATTTCCACTCAGACTTTAATGATAGGAAGGAGCCAGCTATGAGAAAGCCTTGGGCAATAGGATGCCATACATATCTGAGCAATCCTGAATGTGAACACTCTAAGGGGGAATGAGTTACTTAGGAAGGAGGAGAAAGTGGTGGACAAGTATCAAATCTTGTACAGATTGCTTCAGGAGCTACGATAAAGAGGTTGGTGACTGTTTCAATATTATAACTAATGAACAAAATAAACTGGCAAACAATATAGAATTGGAGACATGGATGCCTGGAACAGACTAACAGCTAGCAAAGGGGAGGGCTGTGGGAGGGGGACTGAATGAAAGAAGGTGAAGAGATGAGCCAAAGAACATATATGCATAACCCATGGACACAGATAACTGGAGGAGGGCCGGGACTGAATGGAGGTTGGCGATGGAGGGCAGGAGTGTGTGTGTGTGTGTGTGGGGGGGGGGTATTTGTAATAGTGTCAACAATAAAAATAAAATTTGAAAATAAATATTAATAAATTGACAAAATATCACGCAAGATCTCTAAACTTAAATACAAATAAGAGGAAACTGGATATGTTGATTAGCACAGCATAAATGACATTGAAAATATTTGTATTAATGACCAAAATGTAAGTTTCTGATTTAAATGGAAAACCTGTCTTAAGAATTGTGGCAATGTGTCACAGAGGAGTTCTTAGCCAAGGGGCCATGTGAGCTGTATTAACCTGAGGAATGGCAGGTACGGGAGCAAGTCAGAAAGGGGGGGAAATGGTTAGAACAAGCACTTCAGAGGGGCTGGAGGCTTTTTAATAGAGAGGATAGTTCTTTGGAAACGGCAAAAAGGGATAAAGGCAAGAGAGTATTTTCTCTTCCTCCACCCAGGCCCTCAGATACTCAAAAAATGAGGGAGAAGCCTCGGGCCAATCAGGTCCACCTCAAAGGATGAAGGGAAGGAAACATTCAGAAAATAAGACAAAGCTACAGGGAGTTTGCGTCAGCAGCCGTGGAGGCAAACCACAGCCATAACAGTTAGTTTTATTGAGCATGTACTACCAGTATTCTAAGTGCTTTCCTTGGGGAAACTTCTCCAGTCCTCTCAACAATCCTGAAGTGTAAATAGTATTTCCAGCCCATTTTGCACAGGAAACGGAGGCACAGAAGATTTAGGAAACGGGCAGCTCCCAAGTGCCATGGTTGAGATGACAGATTCTTAAATTGGGAAGTCAGAGCGGCAAGGCCTGGGGGTTTGTCAGGGAGGGTCAGAGAGTGGCCTCACGAAGGGGGGGGGGGGTAACACTGGTCTCTCGATGAGACCCCGGTGGCAGAGGTGAAGTGCGAGGCTGTGATGCAGGTTAGCAAGTTTGCCCCATGACGCCGTTTGCCCTGACTGGCATCAGAAGAAGGTTTTTAATGAGTTGCAAACTGGAGCTGGAAGCTTGGCGCCTCTGAGCAAAGCTCTCCCCTCCGCTCCCTGTGGATGGAGAGGAGCCACGGGGAGCCTGCCCCTCCCTGGAACCTCTCACCACCGGGCAGCCCTGTGGGAAGAACAGGCTGCTAGCTGCAGACAGGCCCTGCCCGTCTGCCCCGCGTGGGGAGAGTGCTCATATTGATGGGTTTCGGAGACGTTTTGCTGTGACTCATTTGGAGATAAGAATCACTTCCTACGACTTCTGAAGCACTTACTACCCATCAGGTTCTGTGCTGAGTACTTGACATATATTATTCTTTCAATAAACACCGATCTTCTGATATAAAAGAAAAATAATTACAACACATAAGTGGGAAGAGAGGGCAATGTAGAAAATAACTTGGTAATGAGAGTGGAAACTGTTATATATTTCTCCCAGCAGCCGGTGCATCCCCTCCTACTCCCAGTAAGTAGCCTGACACTACCTACCAAGCGGCAACAAGAAAATAGCTCAGAATAAAGGACAAATTAAATCAGCTCCAGGAACAATGACATTACCAATGTGCCCTTATTTTGACAGAATTGTACAAGTAACTTGCATCCAGGAATGTCCAAAATGAAAACTGCTTTTGTTTCAAACAAAATTGTATTTTGAGCTGGAAAGCCTTCTCATTAGCGCAGGAGAGGAGGCCTGGCTATCTCTGCACGGATTCCTTTCAGTCTCTGAGGCAAGGAACACATGTCCAACCCGCCGGCGTGACAGGAACAGACATCTTACAGGCTCACAGCACAAGGCTGACATTTAGGTAAATGGTCATGTGGCCTGGACCAATTTATCATTAAGTCAGTATCCAGGTATTAGCATTTAGCAGTTCACCTTCTTTATCTGACAGCACTTTCCATATCTTTCTTAAGCTTTGCTAGCTTTTTAAAAAGGGCTTTGGGTCTCTAAAAAGCTGAAATCATAGGTATGATATTTCTGGTATCTTCACTTAAAAATTATTCTTAGTTACTGGTAACCAGGTATTGCTTTCTATGAGCATGAATGTTTATTTTCAGGGTTGTTTTTTGTTTTTGTTTTTGTTTTTTTTGTTTTTTACCCTTTCACTAGAATCAAGATTTAAATAAGCATTGCGAAACCTCTGTTGTACTTTCCACTCATTGTAAGAAAGTGCAGAAAATCAAAATGAAATTAATTTTATCTTAGCTTCACTACAAAGTTGGCTAATTTCCATATGAATTTCTACACATACCGAGACAAAAAAAATCTCAATCATTGGAGAACAAAGAGTCTATGGTGGAGTTCGTGAGAGACTTCCTAAGTGTCTGTGTGATGGGAAAACGGGAGTAACAAATTGATTTCAGCAAAATTTTGACATGTACACAAAACTCAGCCTCATCTTCCAGCAATGCAATAAATCATCTCCCTCACTGCACTTAACATATATGCACACCAATAATCGCAAGAAAATAAAGCGAGGTTGACAAGGAGTAGTGACTAGCTTGGGTCTCAAAAGAGGCAGTGCCTGTCCCACACCTCCACTAAGCTGAATGACAGTTGCTTATTCACTGTGATCAGTGTGTTTGCTTTTGTTTTCGCTGTCACCTGAGAAAAGCGACATATCTTCTAGAAAGAACTACCCAGTGCTCTCTCTATTATTAAAGCTTAATTGGGAGGATAACATCTTAGGTCCTAATCAAAGTATCTGAAATCATTCTACATTTTCAATAACGTGCAGTGATACTTACACCTGATCCTTTTTTTCTCATACCTGGTGACATATCTCATGAACAATGACCATGGTGACATCCAGCAGGTAAGAAAGAGATGACACACTGGGATCCAGTAGTATTCTCTGTTCCACAAAAACACTGAGTCCCCAGTTCTCCATAGCAGCATACGGATGCTTAGGCACAGCTAAAAGATCTAGAAATAAAATAAAACAATTCCAAAGGCTTTAACAAATAATCAGAATCTAAAGTCATAGCCAAAAAAAAAAAAAAAAAAAAAAAAAAAGTCAAGAAATCCTAATTAGAAGGAATACTTGCTCTTTTTTAGTAATTTTCCCCCCAAAATTAAACTACCTGCCATTTCTACATAACAGCAGAAATATAGGCTGTCACCGTATACACAGGCCACGTCCATTCATCACAGTTCATTTTCAGACCCAGTGCAGGCTGAGGCTGGAAGTATCAGCACCATTATTGATGGGCCCATCCTGATAAGTTTCAAAAAGTCAAGGAAACCAAATGCAGCAGGAATCCACAGAGTCAGAAGACATAGTGCCTTCCACTGAAAATATATTCAGTTCAATGCAGTGAACGCTGTACTCTTACTTTTACCTTGATACTTTTCAAAAGAAAACATGCTCTATCAGGATAAACATGCGATGTCATTTTTCTAAATTCTTATATTCTAATTTAGTTTCTGAGTTCTATTAAGAATAAAAAATGTTACATACAAATATGATAATGAATATAATGGCAAAAGGACAGTTGAGGGAACATGCAAGTTTTGGTTTTGTCCTGCCTCCACCATATAGAGAGAACACACTGGTAAATTACTTACTTTCCTGAGACCACAATTCCTTCACCTATAAAGCAAAGTTATTGGCTTTCATTATCTTGAAAATCTCTTCCAACTCCAAAAATCTATGATTAGATGATTCTGAGGTTTGTGCTTATTTTTAGCGGTTATGGAGGTATTATAAACTTCTGGTTAGGGTGATGATAAGTTCATGTTTTGATGTATTCCCTCCACTCCAAACACATAGTGATGACATATAAAATATTAAATGGGAAAACTAAAAAAATATCTGCAGGCTAGAAAATGAACTTCTCCATGGACTAGAAATGGTACAAAAATGCAAAGTAGTGATTGGGTTCGAAGCCCTATGCCTGCTGTGTTCTGGCTCTGGGAGCAGGCAGAGGCAGCTGGGAATTGGTTCCAGCAGGATGTGTCTCAGCCAAAGAGATGTGAGCCCAGTGCTTGATGCCAGAGGTTGAAGTAGGAGGTGCAAGCTCATGAGGAGAACTGCAAATAGCGGGTGCTCGCTGTTTCCTGAGGAAGGGGGCAACTGGAAAGTAAGAATTCAAAGACAGCCTGGCTCAGCACCTTGCTCTTAATCACAATGACATAAAGTTTATAGTTTCTGACCCAGAAGTTACACGTCCCAATAAAAACAAACCCTGGAGTGACTCTTTAGGATGCCAAGGGGGAAAAAAATGGTACAAAATGTTATTGCAGTATTTCTCTAAGAGTGAAAATGGAAAACTAAAGCCATTCATGAAGATAATGAGCAAGGGAACTATGAAATAGATATAGTATAAAGGAATACTATACAGCAATTGATATGAATGATCTCACCAGCAGATGCTAACACTATGTGTATCAACATGGATAACCTGGAAAACATAATGTTGAGGGAACAATTAAGTTGTTAAATAGCCCTTACCATATATTACTTTAAAACACATAGAATAATGCCATGTGTTGCAAATGAATACTCACACATGCACACAAACACCAAGACAGATGGTAATGGTATTATATATTGCACATATAATCACACACATATTCTAATGATAAATACCAAATTCAGAATCATGATTGCTTCATGGAAGACAGAGGAAAAAATGCATGAGAGACTATCTTTTAGGTTCCTGACCCCAATTTCAACTTGAAAGCTGGAAAAGAGTTGGACACATCACCAACAAGCAATTCCTGGGCACCAGCTGGGTGTCTGAGAATTAAGCTCATTTTTGACACCATCTACCCATCTACCTGAGGACAGACTCAGATTCCACAGGTTAAGGACATAGTCCTACAAAACTTCCCTCCAGCACACACCCAGGTTTACCTGTATTTCTGACACATGCATACATCAGAGGTTCCTAACAATACTATTCTAATTAACTAGTTATTAATAATAGAAAAGAAGCAAAGAGAAGACATTATATTGGGGGAGAGAACCACATAGAGAGCCACATGCCCAGTAAAACTGGGATGACATAGAGAAGGTACTTGCTGGTCAATCACACCTGGAGCAGAGGTGGTGGCCAGAGTGGGTATGGCCATTGCAAGCCTGTGGAAATTTCGGATCTCTAATCCCCTAAACTCATTAGTCAACAGAGCCAAATATCAACAGTACAACGATTGAAATTTCTTTTGAGAGCCAAAATTTTTAAACTTCAACTTCTTCTAACACCATTTCTTCAAAATAGACTCGCCCTGGCCATGGTATTTTGTGGAAGAGCCACACTCAAGGAGCCAAAGAGCTGAATGTGGCTCACAAGCCGCAGTTTGCCTACCACGGTCCTAAACAAGAATCTCTCTCCTCTCTCTCTCTCCCCCCACCTCCCTCTCATCTCTCTCATCTCTCTCATGCTCTCTCATGCTCTTAGCTCTTGACATGCTTGGCTCATAGTTCACACATGGCTTTCTGGCATTGTCCCATGTGGCCCACAGCCATGTGGACTCCACATACAATGGAGCAATGGACCACAACCAGCCTGATGCTGAACTGGACCAGCTCCAACATGGAAAGGAAACTCTGGGCACTGGCTTTGATTCTAGCTCTGCTAAAGCCCAGGCTACACTTCTATGACTGGACTAAGACAATCGGGACTTTGGAAACCCAGGGATATAATTTCACAAAAATGAAGCTCTCTACCACATCTCATCTTCCTGTGGGGGCCTCTGGAAATGCTTACTCCAGCGGTACCCCAAGAACATCACTCCCACTCGCAACAGCAACGGGGAAAGATGAGGCATGTTTTTCACACCTAGAGCAGAAGGGTAGCCAATCATGCCTATGTAATGAAGCCTCCAAAAGACCAAAAGACAGCCAAAACCAGTTTGGCTCAGTGGATAGAGCATTGGAATGGGGACTGAAAGATCCCAGGCTCGATTCCGGTCAGGGGCATGTGCCTTGGTTGTGGGCACATCCCCGGTAGGGGGTGTGCAGGAGGCAGCTGATTGATGATTCTTTCTCATCAATGTTTCTAACTCTCTATCCCTCTTCGTTCCTCTCTATAAAAAAAATCAATAAAATGTATATTTTTAAAAACCAAAAGACAAAATTCAGAGAGATTCTGGGGGGTTGGGGGTGAGAGGTAAACCTGGAGATGTGAGGAGGTGGGGCCTGCACAGGGTATGGAAGCTTGGTGCCTTTCTTCATGCCTTGCCCTATTCCTCTCCTCTATCTGGCTGTTGCTGAGTTATATCCTTTTATAATAAGCTGGGAATCTAGTAAGTTAAATGTTTCTCTGAATCCCATGAGCCACCTAGCACTGTATGTATTTATTTATACAAGTATATACTCAGTAGACAGAGGCACTATATGTATTTATTGATACAAATGTATACTGAGCATCTCTTTTGCTCAATATAACCATTGCTCTCTACTTCAAACACCTTGCCCCATTCTCTCATGGCACTTACATTCATACGTGGGTGTGTATAGGACAAGGAGGTCAGTTAACAAGTAATAAAGTGAAAGAAATTTAGTAAATGATAAATGCTACAGAGAAAACATAATAGAGTAAGACAACAACTGACAGGTTGGGTAAGAGGGGTATAGCATGATCAAGAAAGGGAATTACATTTCATCAGAGATGTGGCTAATGGTAGAAGCCAGCTGTTTGAAGATCTGGGGAAGTATGGTCTAGGAGGGGACAGCAAATGCAAAGGCCCTAAGGTGGAGACAAGGACCACAAAGAAGATCCTTGTGGCTGATGCATATGATGGAGAAGAACGTAGGGGTCCGAGAATTAGTACAAACTGCAAGTGCACAGCAGACATTCTTCCACAAGATGTTAAGTGGAAATTCCCCTAAATATGAGCAAACTGGGCGACAGAACAACATTATGTCAACTCTGCCGGCCACCAGCAGATGGCAACAGCAGTAGCATATCTGGTGTCATTTCCTTGCAGGAACTTGTGAATTTGGGAACAATCCTTCAGAGCCAAGCCTGTGGCAGGACAGGCACCTCTGTGTGCTGGAGTTCTCCAGAGCCCAGAGAAGCCAGGTCCCAAGGCTAAGTGAGCCAATCCGGTCACACTCTGGGATTTGGACTGGCTCAAATGGCACAAAGAGAAGACTCCAGACATGGCCCGATGCAGAGTCTGGGAGTGTGGAATAAAGAAGAAAGTACACTTAGGGAGCAATCATCAGATAGCAAAAGCCCGATCAGCATGGATATAAGCAGGGTGTGGTGAGGGGCCAGTTGAAGGTTGGTGACAAAAATATCAGGCAGTGGTGACCTAAGCAGGCAGCTGGCTTCCAGAGGCGTGGGGACATGAAAGTCAGGTGGGGGTAACATGACAAGAACTCCTAAGCAAATAGTTATATTCAGATAAAGCAAGTGAGGGGGAGTTGAAGGACTGGGTAAAAAAGGTGAAGGGATTAAAAAGTACAAATTAGCAGTTAAAAATTAGCAGGGATGTAAAGAGCACCATGGGAAACATAGTCTGTAGTGTTGTGATGACTAAGTATGGGACTACGGAGGGTACTGGAAATATCAGAGGGATCACTTTGTAAAGTATATGATTGTCTAACCACTCTGCTTTTCACCTGAAACTAATATAAAATCATATTTAATGTAAACTGTAATGGGGGGGAAAGAGAAGACAAAAGATAAAGAGTTTAAGAACAGAGCAAAACTCAAAGAGATCAGTAGTAGGAGGCAGCTTCTCAGACACAGACAAGCATTAAAGTTGGTACATGGAACACAGCAGCTGGGGGGGAGGGGATGGAACTAAAAACAAATTTAGATTATGCTACTAGGCACTTCATAACTTTTTCACAAAGCTCTGAAGAAACTTGGATTTGTTCTAACTGCTAGTAAGAGATATTTTAACTGTGCCTCTCTACACCTTCATAACTTAAGAAATATGATAGAATTAGATCTTAAGAATACCTGCAC